CTCTACACCTACGGATGCATCCATATGCAAACTGCACCCTTTATCAAGAGGTGCGGTTTGTATCAAGAGATGCAATGTGTATCAAAGTAAAGCGCACCTTCAAATAGTATCAAGAAATGTGGTAAAATTTAAAAGCTTCAAAAATAAAAAATATGTTACAAGATTCATTATTTCCAAAATTTAAGCATGCATCTTGATGTCGAGATGATCAATTTGAACACCAAAACAACCCCTTCTAATGACTTTTTTGATATGGGCTCTAATTTTATTGTTTAGAGCCCTGGTTCTATGTAAACTCACGACAAACGACTAGAGATTAATTTGTTACGACATTCATTTCAAATATTTGGGATTTATTTTAGGAAACCTCAGTAGAAAGTCCCGTTCTGACATGCAAATCCTATAATGGATTAGAAATCAATTTCCACCTTTGATTAAATGGCATAGATCAAGCAGTTTTGTGGACATTATTATAAAGTGAACGATCTAAATGATGCATTGCAAGATACACTATTTTTGGAACTTAAAGTCTTTATTTTATTTTATTTCTCTCATTTATAATAGTCAAGATGGAGATGATTAAGTTGAAGGTTTTTCAAAAACAAAGCTACAAATTTTGGTGAGATTTAAGATCCACCGTTACTGAACCACCTTATTTTAATATTTGTTTATATTTTATATGTATGTAAAGGCACACAAAACTGTTTTTACTCAAAAATCAAATTTTAGATTGAATGAGAAGTTTGAAAGTTTAGCGAAGTTCCAGTCAAGGAGGAGGAATTGATTTTTTGCGAAGGGCAACTTCGATATTTAATAATCCGACAAGGGCGGCTTGGGTAGAAAGTCACCTAGCTGCAAATTCCCGCTAAAAAAAAGATCGAAATTCCGTCTCCGGAGTCTAGATTTTAGAGAGAGGAAACGCGAATTTTTGGAGCGAGTTAACATTGGGAGAGAGTTTAGAGAGAGAAAATTCGTTAGTAGGGGTTTAGAGAGAGAAAATTCACAAACCCTAAAATTTAGCAGGCGTAGAGGTCGTCGTCATGGCCATGGCTTTCGCTTTTTTTACCTCTCCTTCCATTGCAATGAGGAGAGATAATCATCACACATGTGGACACGTATACACGACAACTGCTCTCCATCTCTCGAAATCAACGGCCAGATTAAATCAAATCTCTTTTTGGACGGCCTGGATCTCGTACGCTAAGAGTCTGCCTTTCAAAGTCATGGATTCCTTGTTCCTTTATTTAGAGAGGAAGGAAAGAGAGGTTTCGGACTCTTCTGGTGCACATTTTCAATGAGGAATTTTGAGTGGTTGCAGGGTTTTCTCGATTAAGTCGTCGCTTTTAACCTATGCTTTGGACTCTGTTTCCAAAAGATTTGTTGCATTTTAAGGAGGAATTTCTGAGCTTATATTGTTGAAGGAGTTATCGTAAAAGGGGTATAATGTCAGATCAATCGAACTATTAGTTGTGGATAATTCTTCATTTCTGGAACTCACACTGCAATTTTTATGTGAAATTCATGATTATTGTGATAAATTGTGATTTTTGATAGATGTTATGACAAATTATTGTTTATCAGTTTTATCTTGTCAACTGTGAAATGTAAATGATCTTCTTGAAGTTTGTGTCAAAAATGTCAATTTTAAGTGGTAGATTGTTGTCCAGAGACGTTCTTAAGTTGATTGAAGCTCTGGTTTTTTTCGCAATATGCATAATTGGGATACTATGGTGAAATTTTATCTTTTGGCATTAAAATTCTTAATGATTTTAAATCATATTGCTTGTGGTATACAAAAACTACAAATTTATGCTTCGATGTGAAATCTCCTGAAACTTACGAGGCGAAGTGTCAACTTTTTACACGCTTCTGATAATTTTTGATAAATATTTAAAGGAAAACACCATCTAATTAAGAAAGCGTTCGTATTCCATATGATCTCTCCCTGAACGATTATTTTATGCTGCTAGTATTTCCAGTTGATATAGCTGATTTATTCTTAAAAATCTGGCTGGATTGTGGCTTGTATGTCCGCCGCTTCAGAAATTTTCATGATTCATGCGAATAGTTTGATTTTTAAAACTTGTGCACCCTTGCTTTCGAAGAATCTTGAGTATGTATCTGTTAAATTTCCATGAACTTGAAAGTCTATCTTAGTAGGAATGTGCTGAAATTAATTGATTATATATATGATTATGAAGGATGTTACTGCTCTTATGTTCAGTTTTTTCCATTCATTCCCCTTCTAATATATAGACTTGATCTCACTGACTCAATTCACCTTGATGTTCATTTGATAGAGAAGAGTAATTGACAATCACGAGTGTGACACTTGGTTGTTCCCTTCTGCTTTCTCTCCCCTAAATAACCACCAATGGGTTGGGGCAGTATTTACAAAAGGCGCGTTAAGGTTTTCACTGTCGCATTGATCATATATCTAGACTACAAGGTACTTCTTGTTTACATGGTTACTTACGATTTGGGTTCTAGGATTACCTATGAATTCTCAGATTGTTTCTATTTCTTAATCTTTGTATTTTTGCTGCTCCAGGCCTTGCAGAAGAGAGAGAAATGGTTTAGCAAACCAAAAAGATCTGCATTATGGGAAATGGCTCATGAACGCAATGCCAAGCGGGTCTTGAATTTGATAATAGAGTTGGAAGGTTTGTGGGTGAAACTTGGTCAATACTTGTCAACAAGGGCTGATGTTCTTCCTGAGCCCTATATAACTCTCCTTAAGCAATTGCAAGACTCTCTTCCTCCACGTCCGTTGCAAGAGGTGGTGTTCATGTCTTTCTTTAGAAAGAACTTTGTTTACCCCTGATTCTAGTTTTGTCCATTATGAAGCAGTCTTGAGATTTCTAAAAGGATGTTAACTTTTATTTATTCTTCATTGATAAGGGTTTCAACCAACTGATGATGCTATGGGTTATGCTGACCATGCTTTCACAGGTTTGTCACACCATAGAGAAAGAATTGGGCAAATCCACGAGTGATCTTTTCTCAAGATTTGTTGAGACACCTCTTGCAACAGCATCAGTAAGACTGCGGTCCACAACTGAAAACCTTTGTATGAATTTTATTTTTGAACTAGGACACCAATTTTACATGCTTTCATCCTGCAGATTGCGCAAGTCCACCGTGCATGTCTTAAGGATGGTAAAGAGGTGGTTGTCAAAGTACAGCATGAAGGCATCAAAGCAATCATATTGGAGGTCTCCTAATGCTTTCATGGAACAAAGAAAAAGTATTTTTCTACATTTGGTTTTGAACTGCTCTCTATAACCATATGATTGGGATTTGGAGATCAATTTTATATGCAGGACCTGAAGAATGCAAAGGCTATAGTTGATTGGATTGCTTGGGCAGAGCCGCAGTATAACTTCAACCCAATGATAGACGAGTGGTGCAAGGAAGCTCCTAAAGAACTTGATTTCAACCTTGAAGCAGGTATGAAGCTATATTGAATGTGATGTGATTTGTCTGTAATGAATATGAGTTAGGCATATCTAAGTGGAACTTCATCTAGCTTTATCTTGATGATGGCATTATGGTGAGTACTCCTAAAACTTTTGTTTCTGTTCTTCTAATGGACTTAGAAATTCCCATGGTTGTGATTATGGTTACTTGCACAACACTCTGTATAAGAGCGGGTACTTGTGTCAACTGCAATTTCAAGGGTTCAACTAGCCTGACTTATATCAAATCATAGTGTCAGTTCGTCGAATATGCACTCTTTTATCTTGCTATGCTCTCAAATGGATACACTACTGTAGTAAGAGCAATTCTGGATTGAATTAATGATCACCACTAATGGAACAAGTTTTTGATGCTGCGTATGTGTTTTAAAATGTGCCATATGAAGTGCTGTTTCAACTGTGTTAGAGTAAATATGGATTGTATGTGAAACTCTTTATTGTTGCATTTATCGTTATTATGACAGCTCTTATATTTCGTATTGTGTGGATGCAGAAAATACAAGAACAGTTTTTGAAAATCTTGGATGTAAAAGAGGGCACAACTTTCCTATATCCTCTAATCATGTCGATGTGTTGATCCCAGAAGTTATTCAGGTAGTCCTCTTCCCTATGACAAGTAGTTGCGTACATGCATCTGGATTTCCTAGTACTAAGGCTTAAGTTTGTGTTCATTAGCTTTCATTTTTTTCCTTTTATGACAGTCAACCGAGAAAGTCCTTATTTTAGAATATATGGATGGAGTTCGCCTGAATGACTATGATGCATTAGAAGCATTAGGAGTGGACAAGCAAAATCTTGTCGAAACAATCACCAGGGCCTATGCTCATCAGATCTATGTTGATGGTTTTTTCAATGGCGATCCTCATCCTGGTACGAAATCTATTGATCTTTAACATATTTGATTTTTTTTATTAATATTAAATAACGAAGATAACAATCACAAGGATGTAAGATGAAAACATAGTATTGGTGGCATCTGATCTCTCTCTCTCTCTGCCCCTCTCCTGTGAGATTCCTGATGATATCTGTTTGTATCTCATTGTAGGAAATTTCCTTGTGAGTAAGGAACCTCCATTTCGACCTGTTTTACTTGATTTTGGGCTTACAAAGTTGATATCAAATTCAATGAAGCGAGCCCTTGCTAAGATGTTTCTGGCCAGTGCTGAGGTTCGTTAATGGATTTTCACCCACATTACTGTTTTTAGCAACTGCAAGGAACCGGTTGAAAATAGATGATTAACACTTGTTGTGTCTGCATTCAGTAAACTTGCTTTGCAAATACTGGGAATAGCACGTTTTCCTTTATATGTCCTTGTAGTATTCTCAACCTGTCTATCTTTGCATGTTTCATACCATATTTATCTGAAATTTCCGGTTCTTGATTTGGGTGGGCCAGTCTTTGAATGAGATGTTACTATTGTTATTTGAAACTTATAATAGCTGTTCTGGAGTTTGGTTTACGTCTGAATTATGTTTAATTTCCGACGATTTTCTTTAGAATTTGAATTATGAAAAGGCATGTTATTTATGTGGTGGTAGGGGGACCATGTGGCGCTATTGTCTGCTTTTGCTGAGATGGGACTTCGTTTGCGTTTAGACATTCCAGAGCAGGCCATGGAGATAACTAACATATTCTTTCGCACATCAACGCCAGCCACTGAAGCTATTGTGTGTATGCTTTCTTGGGTGTATATATGATATCAACATTATGCAAAAATTATTGAGAAGGATTCCTTATGTTGACTCTTTCCTTTTGTCAAGGAAAACATGAAATCCTTGGCCAAGGAAAGAACAGAAAAAATGAAGGTCATCCAAGAAAAGATGAAAACTGAGAAGAAGAAAAGCAAAACTTTGAATCCTGTAAGCCTACTTATCTTTTGTTTCTATGGTTGGCAATGTTTTACATCCCATAGTGCAAAGAAAATGTTCTAAGGAAAAATTTCTGCATCTGAGTTTACATTGGATGTCATTTTTCCAGGTTGATGCTTTTCCTGGTGATGCAGTTATCTTTACTAGGGTTTTGAATCTTCTTCGAGGTCAGCATCAAGTCAGAAATTTTTTTATCAGTTTATAGACTAAACATTTTCTAATTCTCTTTATAAATGAACAATGAGTATGTCTTCCAGGGCTTTCGGCTATGCTGAATGTTCGTATAGCTTACCTGGACATCATGCGGCCTTTTGCTGAGACTACCCTCTTAGGGTAAGTTCTAATCTTGTGGACCTCCTGTAACTTGTAGGAAAGTTTTTTGTTAAGGCTTTGTCAACTATTAGTGGTAGAATTCAATCTTATATTACTGTAAATTTCTCAAGTGGAGTTCATATTGAGACTTCTTGTCAGCAGAACACCTGGAATTGGGTCTGAAATGAACAGGCCATGGATTTTTGAGACACCTGCTCTTTCTGATGTGGAGGTCAAACTTAGGAAGCTCCTACATGAGTTTGGGAGTAACAAAATACTCGGGATTCAGGTTAGTTACTTGTATAACAGCTCTGAGCATTTAATTTTTTCTTTGAGATAACTGAAACTGGAATTTTATTGCAGATTCACTATTGCAAAACTATTTCTATTGCTTTCAGGGTATTCTTTTTTACCTATTGTCACAAAAGTATTATGACTTCATTATGCTTTCAGGGTATTCTTTTTACCTATTGTCACAAAAGTATTATGACTTCATTAGAAATTGTCGTATAATTTGCTGGAAAAGGCATTTTCAAATGTTTGAGGTTTTGATGCTCTTGTTAGTCTATTTTGATTAATTTCGTTATGGATATTTTGTTTTCATTTGCTAATTGTGCTGAATAGTTTGTTATCTCAGTATCTCTATATTATTCTGATTTACCTCTTTTGAATAGTTTTAAAACAATTACTTTAGGAGATCTAACTATTTTTAAATCAGACTTAGATCGACGATGTTATGTTTAAATATTCATCTGGACATGCTCTGTTTCTTACTGAATGGAACTATCTCCGTAGTGTAAATATTCCTTTGCCTTTCATAGAGCTTGCGGATCAAGGAAATTGTGAAGTATGATTTTGATGATGATTTGGTTGTGACATGCCACTATTTAGAGAGGATAATAAACCATCTTGGAGTTATTTATTATTTTTCTTTCTATTTGTTTTGTCTTTAAATTTTTCACGAGTCTTTACATTGGTTTTTAATCAAAAACATTGGGGATGCATAGTCTAGACTCATTTCTAGTTTGTAGTCTGGATATGGCACTGTGTGGGATTGGACTTTCTCTATGAGCTAGAATTGAGGAGTTCAACAGCAGTCAGTATTTTAGATTCACAGATGGTTATGATTTATAGTTTGCCTTTGCCAATAATGTTCCAATTCTGATGGAGGGCAAAATTATTCTTATTTTCAATTTTTATTCAATTTCAAAGGATGTATATTACAGTTTTAGTTTTGGGATTTATATCTAGGGTTTTTACTTTTTTAGGGTTTTTATATTTTTTTATTTACTTTATGAGTACTATGCACAATTACTGCTTATGAGTAGTCATGGGTACTGTACACAAGGGTAAAACTGTCATTACAAATTTTAAGTTAGGAATATAGGTCAATATATTATTTGTTTGGAAATGTTTTGTAATAAACATTAAATTATAATGTATAAAGTGGTGTGTGGGGCCTTGAGGGCGTCATTCCACATGATTTTTAGCTTAGGCTTTTGGAACCCTAGCTTGGGGTATGGAGAAGAAACCTTAGGTTTCTTTGAATTATGCTTGTGTTTGGCTTTGTTTTTTTTTTTTTCTCTGATTTTACTGTTCCCTCGAATTTTCCTGTATCAAATTCTTCGATGGAATGTAATGTAAATCGTTATCTCGAGGATCCCTTTCTAAATTCATTTTGTTACTAGAAAGGATTATAGCATGGATTTTCAAGAGGATGATTTCTTACCTATGTAATTTGTAAATTTTTGTTGAACCAGGTCTGTGCATACAAAGATGGAAAGGTTGTAATTGATACTGCAGCTGGTGTGCTTGGGAGATATGACCCTAGACCAGTTCAACATGATAGCCTATTTCCTATGTTTTCTGCAACAAAGGGCGTCACTGCTGGGATGTTACATTGGTTGGTAGATAATGGGTATGGGCACATGATGGAAATAATTTGAATTTTTAAGATAACACTAAAGCTTCTGAAGGTCTGATTAAGAAAAAAGCTTCTAAATTTAATGAATGTTTGTTTAGTGGATTCACATTTACTTGTTTTTAAGAAAAAACTAAACACATTTTATTTATCTTAAACCAAAAGTCTTGTAATTTGTCACCTTAGACTAAGAGCCAAATGTCTGAGCTATTGAAGTTTCATGTTTAATCGCATCTGTATTTCCCACTTTCTTGATGAAATATGCTGATTATTCGACATTAATGATGTGAAATACTTCACTTGCAGAAAGTTAAAGCTCGATGAGAGTGTTGCAAATATTTGGCCGGAGTTTGGCACCAATGGAAAAGAGTCAACAAAGGTTCATTTCTTGCTGCTCTCATTTCCTATATAATTGCCAGATCTACGATTAGTATGATGCACTCTTATTTATGATTGGAACTGTATTATATCATTTTATAGGTTCATCATATACTTAACCATACTTCCGGGCTGCAACATGCAATGGGGGAGGTCATGAGAGGAGATCCTTTGGTGATGTGTGATTGGAATGAGTCATTGAAACGCATGACCATGGCTTCTCCTGAGACTGAACCTGGGTCTGAGCAGTTTTATCACTACTTGTCCTTTGGCTGGCTTTGTGGTGGAATAGTAGAGGCACGTATCTGTAATGAGCATCTGTCTACCACTTTGATTTGGACTTGTTTCATGTCTGCTTTTGATGCCAGCTTTTTTTTTTTTTTCATTTTTTTGCTTTTCTTGATTATAGTTATGCTCTGATATTATATGAAAGAAATAGGCCGGAATGATCTCCTTCATATGATACACTATTCTGCAGTCTGTTTGGTGTGAAAGCCCTTCAGTATATGTACTGTGGCATTTTATATTGCATTGGCATTTGCATTTTTGAAAGAAAAAAAAGGTGCCTAGTTCTACTGAGTTACCATCTCCATTTTTGGTAACAGAGCATCAATTTGCTTGGTCTAGACAACTTTTGATAAATTGAAGTTCCTTTGTTGATGAGCTAGAGGAATATTGGTCATTCCCATGAAAAATATTATTTCATAAAATTGTTGTGAAAATATGAGAGAGGGAGGGATACCCATGTATTTGATTAAATCATTAAATTGAGCCTTTGATGGTAAGGATGTTTTAAATGAAACAGAAAGCATCCGGGAGAAGCTTCCAAGAGGTTTTGGAGGAAGCTTTTGTTCATCCCCTCAACATAGAAGGAGAGTTCTACATCGGCATCCCACCAGGCATGTACCAATTACCATTACGTTCTGTTACATTTTTCTCCACATGTAACATGATCCCATTTTAAACGTCCATATATAATCACTTCATAACCATAAAAAAAGGATTGGATGCAACTCATTTGAAGAAATTCTATGTTTGGAGATTAGGAAATTTTACATAGGTATGCACATATGTATGTATGTATGTTTGAATGTAAAAAAGAAAAGGCTAGATCAGCTTGTTTGGGCTTATTGGGACACTTTCAAGGGATTGCATCCTCGACCTCCCTCACACAAACCGATATGTCTACTGGTAAGGAATCCTAAGGGACTATGTATGAATTCATGTATCTATAAATGTACTTGTGCATGCATGCATGTGAATGCATGTACTTGGGATAATTCTATGCTGGAGATTAGGAAAATTATATGTATGTGAATATATATGTACATATGAATGTGTGTAAAATGTATGTGCCTATGTACATATGTAGGTAGAGAAGCTTGGCTGCATGCATGCTAATATCTATGCGCATCTGCATGTAATTATGCACTTGGAGTGGTTCTGACTCATCTTATGTCAGGTGTCGAGTCTCGACTAGCAACACTTACCCTCGATACAGACGACCTGGAGACCTTTGCAGGGAGAATTGGTCAGGCTAATACTGTGTCTGCTTTACCCGTGCTATTTAACACGCTCAACATAAGGCGTGCCATAATACCTGCTGCTAATGGGCATTTTTCAGCCCGGGCACTAGCTCGGTTTTACGCAACCCTAGTCTCAGGAGGCTCCATCCCTCCTCCCCATAGCCCCAGAGAACCCCCCTTAGGTAGTCATCCTCACATCCCTAAGTTCCCCTCACAAGAAACCAAAATCAAGACCAAAAGAAGTAGCAAGAACAAGAACACAGCCAAAACTAACAATGATAAGAAGCACAGCAACGAGGATCTTCCCAGTGGCTCCATCAATCACAACAATAAGTTTTACAATGGTAATGGAACTAGCAGTGATGGTAATACTAAAATTTTTAAGAGCCCATCCATAAGGGATGCATTTATGGGGGTGGGGGATTATGAAGGATTAGTGCTCCCTAATGGGAAGTTTGGGCTTGGGTTCAGGAGGTTTGGGTCAGGTTGTTTTGGTCACTCAGGGATGGGTGGTTCAACTGGTTTTTGTGATGTGAAGCATGGGTTTGCAATGGCTGTGACTTTGAACAAGATGTCTCTTGGTGGGGTGACTAGAAAGGTGGTTCAGTTGGTTTGCTCTGAGCTTGGTGTTCCTTTGCCTGTTGACTTTGCAGAAACTGGGGAAACTGGACCGGACATGCAGCCTACCATTAGAACATATTAATTTGAAGAAAACAAAAGAATTAAGTTATAAAGATTTATTGATAGCATGGTTTGGAATTTTGATTTATATGTTGTGATTATAGTATATTTAGGGGCTTGGGTCCTTGGCGATCTGAGAATCTCTTGTTTGTATTGGCATGTTTAGGTGTTATTGAGTGCTTGAAAATGGTTCAACAAAGGAGCCACGAGCTATTTTGCAATGTGGCGCACGAGTGTTTCACTGAGCCAAGGTAAATCATAGATTGCACTAAGTAGCTTTTTTTGGGAGCGATAATTGTAAATCTCATTAAGGTACCTGTACATCGAGAATAATATACAAATTGCAAAAAAGATAATAACTGCCTACACACTTTCCCACTTTTGAGCAGGGGGTCTCCAGAATTTCTCCCAATTACCTCTCTTTCCTCAGATCTTTAGTTTCAGCCTCAAAATTGCTTTAATTTGGGACCTGGCATTCTGAGCCATTCTGGACATGGGTCTCCAAAATTTCTCTTAAATTGCTGCTCTTTTTTCTCAAATCCTGTTTCAGTTCATGGATTGAGCCACTTCTTTCCTTTGGCTCCTAGAGTCATTGTAGACCAAGTGCTTTAAATTTAATCACATTAGATCTATTAAAGTTCCTTTGAAGGCTACTTGCATTAGTCAGGCATGGTTGATCACAATCATTTAGGGTCCATTAGAACAGGTTCAACCTACAAAATCTTGAAAACCGTACATTGCTAGTTTATGTTCGGTTTATTTTTTTGAGGGCAAATTCTCAATATTTCACCATTCTCCCATTGCACTCCTAGGGATGGTCTGGATGGACCACTAAATGGGATTTTATAATGCAATCTTCCTTAGCTTTCAACAGATCGCTATTGCGCTATTGCAGCTCGCTTGTTTCATTTGCTTTTGGAACTCTCACTTGTGCAGAAAATGCTGCCAAATGGTGGTTGTTTGTGAGGAATACGATAGCATAGTTTCCTCACTCACAAAACTGGGAAGAGTACACTAGCATCCTATAAATAAATGCAATGTGTATGGTAATATACCAATACGCATATCCCATGGCTCATCCTCGAGAATGGACGGTCAAGATGATCCATGCCTCCTCCCGTAAGTTGTTATTATCTAACGAGTAGAAGTGTGGATATCTCCACTGTCCGTTCTCAATGACGGATGATGGATGGAGGTGGACGTGCTGCTACAATATGATGTTGCCTTTGTAGTACACTTTCCTTGTGGCCGAGAGAACCTTCATGATAGAATTGGGAAATATTGTTTTAGAGGTCATAATGATCGAAACTTGGGAAGATATCGTTTAAGCGGTCATAATCTCTTGCGAATAAGGGGTCAAATCATTCCAATGAATATTATTGGATTCCCTCTTTAATTTTGGTTTTTAATTTTAGGTGTGGTTTGCATAAAGTTGCTACCTTAAATTATCCAACTAGAAGCGCACCTCCAAATGTTATCATAAGACTAATTTTGGTGTCAAAATTCTTAGAATTGCCTGAAAATCCATTCCCTATAAAATTTTAAATTCTAAAAATAGTTCAAATCAAGAAGATATATAATCATATGAAAATCTTGAAAATAAACTGTTTAGATAATGTATTGCAAATGCACTATTTCTGGGATTCAAAATCTTTTTCTTTTTTATATTCATAAATCTCAATTGAGATGATCAATTTTAAAGTTTTTCAATAGCAAAATAACATTTTCCATTGGATATAAACTTTTTCCTTTAGTTTTTATATTTAGCTCATGTACCTACTTAGAAAACATCTCCAAAAATGCTCCACTTGCCCTTGTTGAGGCAACTCATCTATAGGGCCCCATCTATAGTGCCCATACTTGTTTAGGGTTCTCAACTTTGAACAAGAACGATTTTGGCATTTCTAAAGATATTGTTTGAGAAGGTACCTAGTTGAAATAACAATTAAGAAGTAAACCCCATGGTGTTGATTGTAATCATTTAACCCTCTTAATAATTTCATATAGGGGTTTTGACCCCTGATATTTTAACAGATCACATGACTACTTTTTAAGTTAAGGGTATACTTACCATGAACATTTAGGTTTCAAACAAGATTCGAGCAGCATCTGAAACCATCTAACATCAACAATTGATTGTTTGAGGAGCCACTATCATAATGTTTGAAACCCAATTGCTACTATCGCATATCTTTGCAATTTGGAAATACTCAAATCTTTCATACAATGTCATTAGATCCCATAATCAAAGAAGCATATATTTTTCTGGGGCAGATGTCCCACACAAATCCTCACTATCCTTCCAGATAAACCACAATTTGAACAATCAATTAAAGCAAAATTGGAACCTTGTACTGAACTTTGCAAAACCCATTTTCTAATATTGCAGGAAAAAAAAAGCATTTTCTGAATTTGACTGGAAGTCATGCTATAGAAGCCACAACAAAAATGCAGGATGTTATACACGTTTGGTCTTATTTGAGGCCAACATTAGAGAAAATTCAATCCATGACGAGAAAATTTTGTATTGGTAAAAGACATTTGAGGATTCCCTTTAGTAGATGAGAAGCAAATCTTTCCAATTTTATCACTCTTAACAAGAAAGAAGAACAAGTATTTGTCACCAATCTAAATCTAGCGTGGTCCAATGGCTGACTTAAATGACTTTGTAATATACTATGCACACTATACACCTGAGCATAGAGACTTTTAAGCCTGTACAGAACAATATAACATATAGAAGAAACACAAATAACAAATTCCTAGCTTTACAGATGAAAACTAAGTACAAATGAAATACGAACCTGTACAATTTATAAGTAAAAAAAGAGGCCTCCATGCATCTCCAATAACTCTCCAATAACAGGCCTCGCAATATTTTGCTGCTTTGTTCAACAAGGTATAAGAGTTAATTTCTTACTGCTTGAAGCATTTGCCTTGCCGAAATATTAACTCGGCCATAACGAGAAAAAATTTCCGGTCCCTGTTTATGCTTCCAAACCATGGGATTCTGTTGTCACAAGAACAATAATTACGATTAGTAGCAGCAAACAAAGGAATGCATATGATCAATAAATGTGATAATTTTTGTTTTCTCCAAGACAAGGATGGGAAAATAAAGGGCCAGGACATGGAGGCTAGTTGTTGACAGTGTTTTAAGAACTAGTGATAGACTCCATCAGAACTGTAATATCACAAAATTTTCCCTTTTGAAAAATGGAAGTTATATAAAGCTGTTAGGGGTAGATACCATTTTGGTTTCCCTCATTCCCAAAAGACAAGTAGCCAAAAACATAATATTGTCTGATTGGTTTTTGTTTGTTGCTTGGCATGGTGATTTGAAAGTCATGGACACCGAGTATCAGGGAGGAGTCCCCAAAATCAATGGCAAACTACATTTGAAGTTGATTACAGAAATTGCGATTTTCAGGTACCCAAAAGATCAGATGCTGATATCCACAGAAGTCTATTGGTGAAGATCAACGGTTCTGTATTTTACAGTCTTGAAAATTGTACAAAGGAAAAATTCTACACGACCTTGAAGGATCGAGGGCAAAAGACAATCTGTCTCCCTTCATCTACATGGTAGTGTGGAAGCCCTGGTCAAGGTTTAGAGGGGCAGTCCAAAGACTTTGGGAACAAAAAAAGACAAACGATCTTCTAAATTATACTTGGTAGACGAAATATAACAGTTCTCTTCTTTTTCTTTATATTTCGTTCCCTGGTGGGAGGGAAGAAAGAGAGAGAAGAAGGGGGTGGAAGTGGGGTTGGGGGATGGCATGTCTCAGGTTCTAGTCCTCCAGACAAAAAAAAAGTTTGGATAAGGAAAAGGTATATGTGCAATGGAACCCACAAGGCACAACATTATGGTGGAACTATGGCTTCGTAATAAGCCAGATTGGGTCAAAAGGAACAATTGCATTCTCTAAGAAGCTAGAATGATAGTTTGATATCCTTATGTGGATTTTGTTAAAAAGTGATACTAGAAGTATAAAAAATAATTTCGTTAAAAAGTGATAGTAGAAGTATAAAAAATAATTTTGTTAAAAAGTGATAGTAGAAGTATAAAAAATAATTTTGTTAAAAAGTGATAGTAGAAGTATAAAAAATAATTTTGTTAAAAAGTGATACCAGAAATATCAAGAGACATTACAATGCTGTTAAACATGTCACCAAAAGTGCCATTGAAATGGCCATTACATAGGTGAATCTGGCATGCGATGTTCTCTTTTGATGAAATGAGAAATTGGTAATAATAGAGAAGAAGCCAACATCATAGCTGTAAAAATTGACAATTCCAAACAACAGAAAGTTACATACCTCCAACATATAGAAGTTTCTCTACCCGAGCAACGATGTGTTTCCCATAAGTGTACTTCTTCAAAGCATTCAAATGAACTCTAATACGATCAAGCAGTATTTCTCGTTGTTGATCATTGCATGTTTCAAGTATCTTTTGGACCACATAGTTCGCAAATTGATCCTTCATCATTATCTAGATCAAAAGGCAAGAAAAGAAACATTTCAATGATTCATTCTCCAAGGAACATAACAACAGAGAAACCTTTAGAAGTACTAAATTTGTGACTCAAATCTGTAAAGCTCATGTAACAAATTACAGGAGTATAGACGGTAGATAAAGTGGTTTCAATGCGATCATTATTAAACAAGAATATCAATACGAAGAACATAAAATGGCCAACAAGATCTAGATGTCATCATTAGCCACAGATAAGAGCAACAAATTAAAAAACTGTTTATGATAAAGATGTGAATGACAACATCCGCTCCAGCTACAATTCTAGAACCCATGGCCATCCACCACACTGCACACAAGGCCATCCACAATTCTAAAACCCTGACCTCATGGCACATGGGCCATCCACTCCAGGTACAATCCTAAAACCCCTGGCCTAATCTTAAACTTGACCATTTTGCACATTATCCTCCAAAAAATGGGATTTTGGAGACAAGTGGCAAAAGTGTATGGAAGGCTGTATCTCATCATCTTCCTTCTTTGTCCTATGAATGGGTCCCCCGACAACTTCTTCTCTCCCTCCAGAGGCCTTAGGCCGGGTGGCCCTTCCTCTTTGCGATTACGGCTGAAGTTTTCAGTATGTCCTTGTCTAGAGTATTTCAAGCAGGCCTCCTAACTTGTTTCAAATCCTCCACAAATGGCCCAGACATTAGCCACCTTCAATACATAGATGAAGCTTCGGTTTTCTGCAACCCATCCAACGAGGCAGATTCCCTATTCAAGGTTGCAACTCGTATGAAGGTTAATACGGTAAAATCAAAGTTGTTAGGGTTGCAATCACCCAATAATCCCTGGAGCAATTTGCGGCACACCTGACTTTTGGAACAGAGTCATTCCCATTTAATTACATAGGCCCACCAGTTTGCATTTCTACTCAAATCGCTGTTGGACTCTGCCAATGAGAAGTTCCAAAGAAGACTTGCTGCTTGGAAGGGCCCTCACCTCTCCCTTTGGGCGGGGGGTATCATCCTCCTCAATGCCACACTTGCAAATGTGCCAATTTTCTTCCTATCCCTCTTCCATATGCCAGCCAGTGTCGCCAGAATTTTTGAGTCCCTCATGAAACAATTGCTTTCATCCAGTAAGAAATACATCTGGTGGTGTGGGACCTCCCAAAAGAACTCAAAGGTTTAGGTATCCGAGTTCTCAGCAAGACCAACACTGCCCTATGGGGAAAATGGTGGTGGAGATTTTGAAATATTATCCTCACAAACATGGCATAGAAACGTTGCCTAGGTCTTAAACCCTAATTTTCCTTTTTTGTTTAAAAATCACTTGCCACAAATCCAAACTCCGAATTGGGACTTGCCCAAGTCTGACCGGTTGACTTGGGCTCAAGACCCTGGCGAGTCGAATCTAGGGATTTTAAACAGTAATCGCCCATGAATGTTACACGAGGTATCATCTTGAGTTAGAGTAAGCTTGACTTTGAAAATGTGATGGAGATCAAGAACAAGTTGACTCAAAATCTAATTTAAGTTTTTAGTGGTTAAGGTAGATTTTCGGGTTAATTCTTAGGAATTATATTTATTTTAAGAGTTTGGGTTACGTTATGTGTTATTTAGGAAAAAGCTTATCTTTTTTTTTTAAGGGTATCTTTTGTTTTTGTTAGGGAGACTTTAACTTCTAGAAACATAAGTAAGTTTTTTTGTTTGGGTCCAACAGTTGTTTTTAAAAAATAGGAGGTTGGTCTTTGGAGAGGAACGTGGACTGCATGGATTATCCTTTTTGAGATATCTTTATAAGTTATCTTAAGGATAGGAAAAGTGGTTTAGATACTGTAATTATCTTTTTAGATTATAGAAAGAGAAGAGTTTATCATTATGGTCAACATGGATAGGATTAGTAACAGGCTGTTTTTTTTTCTTTTTTTTTCTTTTCTTTTTTCAAGGTAAGTTTTTTTTAGAAAGACAAGGATAGGAGGTTAGAGAAAGGGTTATAAAAAGGGATGGAACATTAGTTTCATTGTAAGGATGATTTTGTTTTAGTGAATGAAAAGAAAAGTTAATGTGTGTGGAGAGAGAGAGAGAGAGAGAGAGAGAGAGAGAGAGAGCTATACGTTACCGGACGGGTCGAAGTCGGCGAGTCGGGAGAGAGAGAGCGTGGTCTTCTTTGTTCTTCTTTCCGTACTTCTTCTTGTTGTAGTGGTGTCGTGGTGGTAGGTCGTTGATCTCATGTTGTG